TTTTTTTTTCTTCATCGTCTATGATTTAATCATCCCTCACGTATTATAGGATTTAAATTTTAAAACTGAGATTTTCATTCGAATATATTGAGTTGTTATTCACTATTTCTAAAACGAAATTTTATTCGGTTGATTTAAAGGAAATCGCACGTCAACAAACACAAGCCGCTATGTTTAAGGACTTGTTGAAAGCTGTACAAGATCTTGGTAGGCAGGAAACACAAGCGTCCCCTCAGAATGTACAAACTAACTCCAACACGACGAGCTCAGTTGTGGAGCAGTTTCATCGTTATAAGCCCCCTACCTTTAACGGGATGACTGGTCCTTTAGCAGCCGAAGAATGGATAAAGGGTTTGGAATGAATCTTCAAGCATCTTAGCTGCACTAATGCCCAAAAGGTTTTATGTGCGGAGTTCATGCTAGTGGATGCGGCAGGCCACTGGTGGGAGTCCGCTTCACGCACTAGGACTGAGGCACAGCAGAGCAACCTTACTTGGGCACGTTTTAAGGAGGAAGTGATGGAAAAATACTTCCCACAAGCCCTAAGAGACCGTAAGGAGACGGATTTCCTACAATTGAAGCAAGGAAAAATGGCATTAATCGACTATGAGAGGAAGTTTGAACAGCTTTCTAGGTATGTGACACATCTAGTAGATACATATCAAAAGAAAGCTAGAAGGTTCGAACTCGGACTTCGCCCAGAAATCGCAGGAATCATGGCATCCCATGAATTCACCTCGTATAGTCAAGTTCTACAAAGAGCTCATGCGATTTCGAATCGATTAGAAATCGATCAGACAACACAAGAAAATACTGAATTTTCAGGAAAGAGGAAATGGAATGGACCAAATGAGGGTAAAGGAAATGGGCAAAACAAGAGGACTAGCTTTGAAAGGTGGTCAGGGTCGAGCAAGCCGAATAATATTGTTACTCCGTGCCCTAAGTACAATAAGACACATAGAGGCGAGTGTTGGTATGGAAAGAATGTGTGCTATCGATGTGGAAAGCATGGTCATATTGCTACTAATTGCCATGACCCTCCACCAAAACGGGACAATGAACAAAGCAAAGGGGGAACGGCCAAAGTGTTTGCGTTAACCCAGCAAGAGGAAACTGACAATTAAGACATCACGGTAGGTACCCTATTAGTATTACATTGCCTGCTTATGTTCTTATATACGCTTGGCTACTCATTCCTTATTTACTAGTATTAAGTCCTGTACTTTTATGAAGAAGCTGTTAATGTTCTAGAAGCTACTACCCCATTAGACAATGCACTTGATAATCGATGACTAGAACAGTCAAGACGAATGGACAAGAATTTAACTTTAGAGATGGAGTATTTTTCTTTATGCCATCTTAGGAATATTGGTTGGGAAACATTATGCAACCATGCAATGCTTTAGCAAGAAGGAAAATTTTTCTTAGAACTCTAAAGAAAAGAAGATCATGGCCTATTCACCTGAGTATGAAAATTTCGAGGACGAAATTATTTTAAGGGGGTGAGATTGTAACGCCCCGAAAATTTTGGAATAAA